CATCACGTTTTATTACCAAGAAGACAAACAGATTAGCATACAATCATGCACCTGTATTATTTACATTAATTATATCGCTCTTACAATTGCCTAATATCCTCTTACAGTTCACATCGGTTGACATCAGTGTGTAATCTGTCCACAACTGCAACGAGTTAATGCGCATGTGAACTTGAATATTATAAATGGAAGGTGTCGTTTGAATCATACAACGGTGCTCGATAGACGTGAACTATTCATTGGATAAAGGTTGACTGATATATATGGACACATCACTTTGTCCTGTCTAGCCCTAAGATGGCAAGGAAAGATAGAGAGAAAGAAATAAAGTAAGAAAAAGAAAGAACTTGACAGCTTTTTACTCGAGTAGCGTATTCACTCAAAATGCATCCTATGATGGCATGACTCTACAACGAACAGGCCACGTGAAAGTACAAATGCCCATTAATGAACCTGAGTCAAACTGACCTATTTGTATTGCAGTGGTGTTTCACTCACCAAGTGTCATCCGCGCACAAATGAACATGATCTTGCAGACAAAAATTACAAGATAAAGTTATCTGGATACAAAACTTAACAAAAGTGTGACAGACAATGACAAAACTTTTAATATTTATCTCCCGTAACACCAAAAGTCTTGGAATTCGCCGAATTATAAATGAAAATTCGAAATCAGTTGTTGTTATTTTTGCTAAAATCAATAAATGGTAAGCCTTCAAATTACCAGAAAGTGAGGGTGTTTGGAAAGGCTATCAGAAGAAAATAACAGAAGATGTTTGGAAAAACTGCCAGAAAAAATGGCAAATTTTGTTTGGATAGGCTATCAGAGAAAACGACAAAATATCAGTTGGTTTATTAAGTTCTCAGCGATTGAAACTAGGATTTATAGAAAAGGAGGAAGAAATTCCAAAAGGTTTACACCAGACGCAAGGACGACGTTTTAAACTGTTTTGAACATTAGATAAAATAGGTCGACGTTATAAAGAGGTGACATTGTAAAAGTTATTTCTAGGTGTCTACCAAGGGCGATGGGAATATGTGTTATGCAATATATGATTGACGGATGCAAAACTCTGCTGAAGAGTCAGTTTCAATGATGTTAGAGAAATAATGTTAACGTGACTTGGGTAATATAGCACCAATGAAAAGATAATTCAAGCATGAACTTGTAAAATCATATTATGGTTTCATATATGCTTGCTTATATGTCGAGTTCAACTGCAAAACCCAGATGTGTCGTCATATAATCTGCAGAGGTTCAATAGACCCAGATTATGCACCGGCAGATCTGGATTTATGCAGTTTGTTGGTGGTAATTAATAGAGCAAACACTGATAAGTCGGTGCAGTATGAAAAAGTAGATCTGGATCCATGCTTTGATTTGTTTTGTTGGGATGGGGATGGGGTGGATGGGGGATGGGGATGGGGTGGATGGGGGATGGGGATGGGGTGGATGGGGGATGGGGATGGGGTGGGTGAAGATTGATTTTTAGTACACAAAAGGAAGGCTCAACTTAGCGAACAGTGCATGATGTTGAGAAATAGCCCTGGAAGTATCACCTATCCATGAGAACCTACTAACAAGCTTTCTTATATACCCACGTTGACAGATGTATGTGTGTGTGTGTGTGTGTGTGTGTGTGTGTGTGTGTGTGTGTGTGTGTGTGTGTGTGTGGAGGAATCTGTAAAGACTATCGCCTTTGACCACTCGGCCAACTGGAACCCTTAATTTGCAATTGGATTCAATTTGCAAACGAGTATAAACTGTGTGAATATTACGATCTTGCTCAGGAGAAGCTGTCCCTATAATAAATCAAATACTATATACAGTATGGTTTGATTTTGAGGGGTTTGGAGCCATTTTTAAACTCATGCTCGGTACACATGGTAACCAATATTTTTGGAGAGAAAAAATCCTTGGAAAAGCCACTGATCCACGGTAAGCTTTCTCACCTATCCACGTTCGTCTAGCCGAGACTTGTGTTTACGTGGACAGAGGTGAGATGCGTGAGTGATTTGTAAGGGCGAGCCCTTTAGACCACTCGGCCACTCAGGGCCCCTTAGACCACTCGATCACGCTGGGTACCAAAGTGCTCTGGAGAAAATGGTAAGATTAATCTAGTCGAGAGTAATGGACATTTTTTTTGAAGATGGCACACGAAGACACACGATGGCACACGACGATGAAGGTTGAGAGGGATATACAAAAAGAGTTCTTTCAAACATTATTTACAGTTTTTGTATGTCAGTGACGTCTCGAGCAACGCTAAATGAAATTGTTTAAACAACGAAGCAAATAAAAAATAACGGTATTATTTCTTTAATTGTAACAGAAAATTGCCCATTTTATTCCACTTACCGTACTTGTTACTGCAGCAAATGAACGATTTTCATGTTAAAAAAGTTCATTTTTCAAAAAATAATATTAATAATTTATTGATGTAACTACTACGAGAACACGCGAAGACTCAGCACTGGTAAAGGGCAGAAATGTATCACCCGAAGAGGAAGAAGAAACAGACAAAAGAACATCACAATATTCCCACCTTTCCTAAAATGCGTGTACATGAAAAACCATTAAATAACGTTCACCAACCACATTGACTGAGATCATTTATGTGAATAGAAGCCAGAGCTGAATTGTGGCACTGTATATCCAAATTGTCATTTAAATCGGTGATGCTTCAAATTTGAGTACTATATAACCAAATTATTATTTAAATTTGTGATACTTCAAATTGTTGGCCTGTATAACCAAATTGTCATTTAAATTGGTGATACTTCAAATTATTAGAATTCTTCTCTTACCGTATGTTGTTCTTTGAGCTGCTTATTGCTCTTTATGTGTGATTTTGTTTTATTTTCTTAAAATAATATTTAAAAAATACGTTTAAAGATATTTTTTATTTGCTGCAGCAGTGGACGAGTTAAACAGAGGAATTATGTCATTCGTAAAATTGTTCATTGCTGCAACATTGAGCAAATATTTAAATGGACTTTGTTTAATTTAGCATCGGCAAACTATCTTGTGAGAATGGCATAGGAATAATAATAAAAGAAGAAGCAAAAAAAAAAAAACAAAAAAACAAACAAGCAAAACAAAACAAACAAAACAACCCTCTCAAAAACAATAAAGTGTTAAACACACAGAGGACGTTGTGTAGACGAGACGGTAATGACGGGCGCACAAGTGATTTTTTTGTTGAATATTTTAAAAGAGGTGACGCAATTCCACAGTGAATGATAAACAGTCAGGTGAGAAAGCAGTGGTGAAAAAAGAAACGGAAATGTACCTGTCTAAACCTGAATGACTTCATAACGTTTTAGAATCAGATAAGTGGGCCGAATGTCTGATAATTCATATGTGATCACCTAAAAGTAAAAGGGAAGCTGAACTTAATTCGATGACACATAGATGTTGTTTCGGAACGATTGCTTCTGTCTAGACTTGAATAATATAAATTTAACAATTTTCTTCTGAGGTCCCAAAGCTGGTATGGATTTATGAAAACTGTGCCGGTCTTATATGCGGTTCATTTGGGCAATCGCAACGGCTGTTGTACAGTTTTTACTCTCACGGTATCACCTTTCTGCATCAGAGACTATATGATAGACCAGGACTGTCGTATGTATGTGTCGCCTACGTCGACTGAAGCCAAACCGTCGCATTGTTTATACTCAGTTAATGCTAGTCCAACGAGTTACCGCACTGTTTTCATTTGAATAATGTGCGACAGAACTTATCATCTTAAGTTTAATTTACGCACGCGCGCGCGTGTGTGTGTGTTTCCTCAAGGATATGACTGGAAAAGTTACCTATTTATTCCATTTAAAATTAGCAGACATTTTTACAATACATATGTATATATGTAACTTTTTTTTGTTTTTCCTGATCGTTCAACTTTCATACCAATCTTAATTTCCATAACAAGGGTGGTAATTGTAAAGAGCAATATTCTAAAGAATAAATATCCAAGATGTAGAAAGAGAGGAAAGATCAATACAGCTGTACTTATTTACTGAAATGATTCAATTAAGGCTGTTTACTATGTTCCTTTATTACTGAGGTGTGTGCTAGTTTATTATTTGTTTTTTTTTTCTTTTTGAAATACTAACAAGTCACCTAAGCATTATGATTTAAGGACTGTAAATTTCCTCTTTGATCTACCTGCACAAATACAGGTATCAAGATGAAGTAAGCCGAAATGTGTACAGAAAGTTTGAGATATGCCACGTGACTGTTTTTATAATTAATTACTCTTCTGTAGTCAAGTCATATGACGACTAAGCAGCAATATCCATCATACAACGATATGAGAAAGAAGATGGATCTTTCGCACTAATGTAACTTTAAATCGATGTACACTCGAAAATCTAACAAAACTTGCACGAAATAATGATGTATAATCCTACTATTACTAATACTTAGTATAGCAAAGTGCAACGCAGGGAGCATACTAAGCAGGGGACCGGACTAATCAGTTTATAGTAATGTTTAGCACTGTAGCATCATGCCGTATACATGTAGCAACATCTTCCACCCAGTCACATTATCTTGACACCAGGCCGACGAGTTCTAACACTAACCTCTTAATGCTGAGCGCTTAGAGAGGCAGCTGCTACCACCATTTTTATTTCTTTGGTATGAATTGGCCCTGTTTCGAACCCGCAACTGCCCGAATCTGACCTGGACGCTCCAACCACTTAGGCCATTGTAGCGGTTGCCATTGGAACTTGTTGTACAGAATAATAAGGTATAATCCTAGTATGTGTTTGTGTGACTTTGGATTTTTAAAGTAGTGGTTTTTTTAAAACAGAATTGTCATTCATATTTCTATGATGTGTGTCAGTTTATAGTGATGTTTAGCACTGGCATATAGATTCATGTCCCACCCAGTCACAATATCCTTACACCAGGCTGACAAAATCTTAACACTAACCTCTTAATGTCGAGCGCCAAGCGAGGTAGCTGCTTGTATGATTTTTGCAAGTCCTTGGTATGACTCAGCCGGAGTTCGAACCCGCGATCTTCCGCATCCGAAGCGGACGCTCTTACCACTTAGGCCACAGGAGCGGTTACGGGAACTTGTAGTTAAAGCTCAAATTTCACGTTCGACCGTTCTTTTAGCAAACAATAATAGCAACGTATTAATTGCCAAAAATGAAATTCTTTATGCATAAGAAGCAATATACACACGTGTGTATGTATGTATGTATGTATGTATGTATGTATGTATGTATGTATGTATGTATGTATGTATGTATGTATGTATGTATGTATGTATGTATGTATGTATGTATGTGATTTAGATTTTTAACGTTGCTTTAACATTTTTTTAAAGTCATATTGCTACAGTGTCTGCAGTGGGACAGTTTAAAGTGATGTCTAGCACTAGGGCATCATTCCGCAGACACGTAGCAAGATGTCCAACCTAGTCACATTAAAAGCGCGCGCGCGTGTGTGTGTGTGTGTGTGTGTGTATGTTAGTGACGTTTAAAAGCTATATTAGAAAATTATACTAAAGGATTCCGAAATCTGAATTAAGTAAAGGCTGAGAAATAATATGATATCAGGGAGGGTCACTTATCCTTATGATTGGTTTGGTTTGTTGGGTATCAGGTTCTTTTTGCAGCACATACTGGACCGTTTATGGCAGACAGTATATTTTGGTGGCGGAAAAATCCGGGAAAACAACTAGCCCACGTTAAGCTACTTATACAAATACCCAGGAAAATGTACGATCGCCTTAGACCACTCAGCCACTCAAAGCCCTTTTCAATATGAATAGAGACATTGTAAATATCATTCTTTGTAGTTTAATACATTATAATGCGATTATAATGCTATTCTTTTACATTATGATGCAATGTTATATAATATAAATGTTATATAATATAAAAATACCGACAACGAGCTTTTAAAACGTACTTGTAGGCAAAAACGTCAAAAGATAACTGATTGGTGGCTTGATGCTAGAAAGATAATAAAAAGGACAAATTATAGCGAGCAAAGGGGATAAAATTTAAATGAAAATCGCAGTCGATAATGATGGCACATTTTATGGTCCAGAGCTAAAATTTTGGTTTGAGAATCAAATTTACTTATCCCTTGATATACATGACGTCATTATTATATTCTTATAAAACAAACTCCACCTTAATAATCTTTGATTGTCGATGAAGGCATGGGGGTTGTGAACACTAAATAAAACAATCGGAGAAGAAGTTGAACTAACGTAAATTTCAAAATGCTGACAATATTAAAGCCAAACATTCCTTCTCGATTGTCGAGTAGTGGCTTTCGTGCCTTTTTAATTTCTTAGAGACATAGCACACTGGGTGATCAACGCCATTTCTATCTTGAATCAATACGGCTCCAAACCCAGCATCACTTGCATCAAGAGACAGTTTAGAAGATTCATTGAAATTTGGAGTAGTAAGAACTTGTGCACTTTTAATTATGGTTTTTAACCTATCAAAAGCCTACTGACATTTTTCAGTCCAAAGAAACTTGTTTTTCTTGCTCAACAAGTTTGTCATGGTTTTAGCTAGATGTTCTTTCCAGGTGGCGTTGAAGATGATGACTTTATCAATATAAGAATCACAATTATCTAGACCAGAGGCAATCATATTCATCAAGCGTTGAAAAGCATTTGGGGAACCCTTCATCCCGAAAAGCATTACTTTATATTGATAGAGTCTATCTTGAGTCACAAATGCCGAAATTTCCTTTGCCCTTTTCGTTAGTGGAATTTGCCAAAATGCTTTTAGGAGGTCAAATTTTGTGACGTACTTGGCATTTCCAATTGTATCAATACAGTCATAGATTCTTGGTAATGGAAATGAACTTGTTTTGTCACATGTTCACCTTCCTTTAATCAGTGCACATACGGAAAGTTTTGTTGTTGTTGTTGTTGTTTGTTTTGGGGCTTAATACCATTTTTCAGCACACGATAGGCTATACATGGCGGCCAGTATTAATGGTGTAGGAAGAAACCGGGAAATTCGCGGAAAGAACCACCGACCTACGATAAGCTACTGGAAAGTTTTGTTATCGAAACAAGTATACATTTTGAACGCCAATCAGGTTTACTGGGCCCTATGAAATCGTTTTCCAGCAAATACTGATTTTCCTTTTTCAAGTATTCCAATTTCAGAGGGTTAATCCATTATGGGTGATGTTTCACAGGTTTTGAATCTGCAATTTCAACGTCATAAAAAGTTTGTTTGTCCTAGTAGGAATATTTGGAAATAAATGCTGATATTCAAATAATAGCTGTTTAAGTTCATTCCTTTCTTTTTTGTTGTAAATGCAAAGTTTCTCGTCCAGATTTTTCATAATTTCGAATTTTGAAGATTTGTTGCTCCAAAATCAACAGAATCTGATTGAATTAATTCACTTAAATTTTCAGTTTGTGGGACAGGTACAACTAAATTAATTGCAAGATTTACCAGGCTATCTCTCTCAATATAATAGTACTCCCTTAATTTATTTAGATTAGAGTACTATTATCATAATTTAATTCATTCATTTTCTTCTTTACTTTGTAAGGGCCGTAGAATTTAATTTGAAGACAATTTTTAAAGAATAAGCAATATAAAATGAAATCCATTACAAGACTCAAAAGTTCTCACCATTAAGGTTCTGTGAAACCATAAATTCACTTTTGACTTGAATAGCTGAGTGCCAAATTCAATCATAACTAGCTGAAAAATTCCAGATGTAATATTTGACCCTTCGTCTGATTGGACAGATTTAAGGGGACAAAATTGAATAAAATTAAACTTTATCAAAGCTTTTGTTATGGCTTTGGTTTAATGTTCTTCAAAGGAATAGCCTCTGGGAATCTTGTTGACGCATACATAATGGTCAACACATACTGGTTGTCTGACTTGGTCTTAAATAAGGGACCAAGACAATCTACCTTAATTCTGCTAAACGGTTCGTAAAATGCAGAAATATGTTGTAGACGAGCCCTAGGTATCTTCTGATTGTGTTTCCTGCCACTTTTGATTTTTGGCATGTAAAAGTGAGTCAAGATCTTGTGATAAGTTTTATTTATCTCTAAATGACCAGCCAGAGGAGTTTCATGGGCCAAACTAAGTATTTCCTGTCTGTAAAATTTTGGAACTACAAATGGATAGTTTACTGACTATACGTCACCAGCAGCTACCTCGAAAGGTATCCAGTTTCTCATAAGAATTTCATTTTTAATGAAATAACAAACATGTACTTCATTGGCTTCAGTTTCGCTAGTGGCCATCTGAGACAAACAGGAGATCTCAAGATCTTTTTCCTGTTCAACGACAAGTGACTGTCGTTTATAACTTCATTAGATAAAAGAGAACGAGTAGTTAAAAAGGATCACTGATCAATACATTTTGATTGATCCAAATTAGAAGTGAAAGTGACCTCATTAAAGCCTGACCAATACGTGTGTCAGCTAAAGGAATATTTTCCTTATCAAAGTCATTCTCAAGAGCTTCTTTGCCATAGCTCTGGCAACTGGACAAGTTGGGTGTAAATCAGGGTATTTTTTTCAATTGGATCAACGTTATGATCCAAAGAAAGCTTGTCAGTTACAAGTTGATTAATCACAACCTTCTCTCCAGCTATGTCGTTGCCTAGTAACAAATGAATGCCCTCAACGGTAAATAATAGACTATTCCGACTGTCACATGTCATGAAACTAAGTCTGATGACAACTGCACAGAATGGAGAGGAACATGAACAAAGCCGCACTCTAGTCCCTGAATGAGAACACTCTTATTAGAAAAGAACTCAGAAAAAGACAAAATATCCAATAAAAGATTCTGTGAAGATTCTGTATCCCTTAAAATTTTAATAGGGACAGATTTCGCCAAATCACCGAAGAGTGATATAGAACCCTTCAACATTAATGGTTCACAATTCTACATAATAAAATAAGACTGTGGTTTATGAGACCCAACAAATGTATTGCTTTCAATACATGATTGTGACTTTGACCTCTCAGAAAAAAGACACCATTGGGGATAGGTCTATCTTGATTCTGATGCCTATATTTCAATTTGAAGCAATCAGAAATAACGTATCCTTTTTCTTGCAATAGTCACACGTAGGCATTGATAAGGATTTTTAATCAGGTTTATTAGAAGATTGAATTTAGATGTTGTGCCAGATTGAGTTTTAGGATTCGTATTAGGCTGAAAGACCTTTCTACAAGTAGACTGCTAAGTGAAAGACTTGCTTACAACAGGAAATTTATGAAGTAAAGAATACTTATCTGCAGCAAGAGCAGCATTTTACAAGGTTTTGATCTTATGCTCTTCAAGACGAGTTTTAATGTCAGACTGAACAGTTTTTGAACTCTTCAAGTAATACAAGTTGTTTGGGACTTTTATAATCATGTTAAACTTTCTTGGCTAAGCACCATCTCTCAAATAACTGCTCATTTTCTCTTGCAAATTAGATGTGAGTTTGTCCAGCTTCTTTTTTTTATAGGTCCAACTTTTTGCTGACAAGCCTCAGGGACTAACTCATAACCCTTTAAGATACAGTCCTTAACCAAATCATCAGCACTTTGATGAAATGACAGGGATGCATTGATTTTTCGATCTTTGCCAAAAAGTACACACAGTATCAATTGAGTTCAATACTCTCTTGGCCATTTCAAATTTTCAGCAACTTTTTTCAAACTAAAGAAAATATTATTCTGTTTCCTTTTCGCAAAAGGAGGGACTAGCCAAATACGTTTGTAATGTGAAAACCTGAATTTTTATGTGAAGTGAGATCGTGCGTTTCTTTTGTCAGCTCCATTTCTTTCATTTCAATTTGAAATTCCTTTTCATCTTTCATTTTGTCATTTGTGCTTGCATTTGTTCGTCTTTAAATTGCAATTGCATTTATCATTTTTGTAACTCTAATTGCATTTGTTTATCTTTCTTTTTCCTGTCTTTCTGTCTCTGTCTCCTCATTTTCAAATTGTAATCGTTTATCTTTCTCTCTTTCCTTTTTCTGAAGACCAAGCTTTTTTAACTATTGTTCCATTTTGTATTTCTTTTTTAATTCCATTACATTTGTCAGAGTCTGAT